AAAAAAAAAAAAACTTTTTTTCTTTTCCTTTCATCAGTCAAAGTATGAAGTTTGCGCATACGTTGCAACTGAATGCAGTGCCAGAATGGCTGGACAAATACGTTAGGTATTGTTGTGTTGTCACATATATCCATAAATAGAAGAAATGCTTATTAGTTGCTATGTAGCTATGAATCACTGAAAAAGTTGATATTTCAATTAGAAAAAGAGCATGTGGATGATATCAACAATAATACTGATCCTGAGAAGATTATTGAACATAAAGAAAATGGCGAGCACAGATTTTTAAATGCACTTGACCTTCAACTTGAAAAAGTGTTTGATTTTTATACACAAAAGGAATCCGAGCTATATCAAATACTCGATCAATTGGAATCAGAAATCAACGGAGAGAGAGGATATGACTATCCAAAGAAACAAAGTGTTACACCCCTAGAAGACTTGGACTCTACATATAACGCACCCAACAGTAGAGCATCTACTCAGGAAAAGGATTATACAATAACTCGAAAACCCTCTCGGTTCTCAAGAGCCTCAATAGCCTCACGAACCTCACGAACCTCCCGTCGTGAATCTCGTCTGTCAATGGAATCCCGCATGTCTGTGGATAACCGAGAAGATGATGTACTTGTACAGCACCTCTCTGATGTACGATCACAGCTTATTCTTTTATACATTTCTCTTTCTGAACTCGAATCCTATCTTGAATTGAATCGTACGGCCTTTGAAAAGATTTTAAAGAAATACGATAAAGTGCTCGAACGCAATTTGAGACCACAGTACTTGAACAAGATGGTCATGGACAGTCGACCGTTTATGCCTCAGACGATGGAAACCCTTCGTGGTCAGCTTTCCCGGGTTGAAGATATATTTGCCAATACATTCTGTGGAGGAAACCACACGATTGCACTTCGACAGATGAAAAGCCATCTTCGTGACCAGATCACGTTTGAGCGTAACACGGTTTGGAAAGATATGGTCCGCCAAGAACGTAGAAAACATGACACCAAATTAATTGAACCCAAGTTGATCAAGACATACAGAATTCCCTTTACCCACCTTCGAGTCAGCAGCAGTTTGATCTGGCAGCTCGTCAGTTTTCTCGTTGCCATTGCGGCCCTTATCGTTCTGCTTTTAGTTGATACCTTTGGCAGCCGTCAAGAAAACTATTGTTTTGCTCTACTTATTTTCGCGGCCATCATGTGGGCTACGGAAGCCATTCCGCTGTATGCCACGTCTTGTTTGATTCCATTTATGATTGTGCCAATGGGTATCATGCGTAACCCAGATGGTTCCTCTATGACAGCCAAAGCAGCAGCCAAGGCGGTCTTTGCCTCCATGTTTAGCGGAACGATCATGATGCTTCTCGGAGGCTTTGCTTTAGCCGCTGCTCTCTCTAAATATGGTATTGCCAAAGCATTTGCATCTCATGTCCTGAGCCGTGCAGGCACTCGTCCTCGATGGGTATTATTGGCCATCATGTTCGTCTCTGGCTTCCTTAGCATGTTCATCTCAAATGTGGCCACACCCGTTCTCTGCTTTTCTCTCATTGATCCCATCCTTCGTACTCTGCCTGACCGATCACGCGTTGCGCCCTGTTTGATTCTCGGCATTGCTCTTTCTAGTTGCATCGGCGGTATGACATCACCTATCTCATCTCCCCAGAACATCGTGACCATTCAGTACCTTAATCCTAACCCCGGATGGGGTCTTTGGTTCGCTCCTGCTCTACCTATCGCCATTCTCTCCATGTTTATTTGCTGGTCCCTCCTCCTGCTCGTGTACCGCCCTGCAAGCGATACTCCTCACCTGAACACCATCAAGCCGACCAAGGAAAGCATCACGTGGAAGCAAGTCTTTGTTCTCCTCATCACAATTGCCACTATTGCCCTCTGGTGTGCTGAAACTGCGATGGAAGAGTATATCGGTGATACAGGTGTCATTGCAGCCATTCCGCTGTTTGTCTTTTTTGGCACAAGCATCCTCACCAAGGAAGACCTCAACAGCTTTTTATGGTCTGTAGTCGTATTAGCTCAAGGCGGTATGGCACTTGGTAGTGCCGTGACCTCGTCTGGTTTGTTGCAAGATATCGCTGTTCGACTCAAGAACGGTATTTCCGATTTGAATGTGATTGCCATCTTGGCCATTTTTTGTTTCCTCATCCTGGTCTTTGCTACCTTTGTCTCGCACACCGTGGCTGCACTAATCATTGTTCCCATTGTCCAACAAGTTGGTCAGCAATTGCCCGTGCCACATCCCAATCTGCTTGTTATGGGTGCTGGTTTGGCATGTTCGGCCGGTATGGGCTTACCCGTATCTGGTTATCCCAACATGTCTGCTGTCATGCTTGAAGATCCGTCCGGAAAACCTTATGTGACGACAAAGGATTTTATCATTACTGGCATTCCCACAAGCATTATTTGTACCTGTTTGATTTTCACGTTAGGCTATGGTATTATGTCTGGTATTGGCTATTAGAATATGTTGTATATAAACGTATATGTTTGCATTTTTCATGTCCTTGTATTTAGTAACAAAAAAATAAAAGGGTTGTAGTTTTATTCTTGTTTGATCATATTGTTTCATTCAAAAAATTTCCGATATCACTTATATACATACACTTAGCAGTAATAATAAGAACAGACATGGAAGAATTCTTGGGGAATTTTAAAACGAACGCTTAGCGTATAAAAGAAAGAGAGAAAGAGAGAAAAGTACGTTCTTTACATTTTTTTTTTTCTGTGTGAATATTCTATGAAGATAAATACAACACTTGGCTTATTGGCTAGTACAATTCTTTTGTGGGTCCAGCAGACGAATGCTGCCTCCTGTCAAGGAGAGCTCAAGGTGACCACTCAGCTAGACATGGACAAGGCTCGTAGCTGTAAGACATATAATGGAAATATCGTCGTGGACAACACTGGTGTTGGTTCACTCACTTTGCATGGCGTGGAGCTCCTTGAAGGCGATTTGATTGTGACCAGCAACGATGCTCTGCAGTCCTTCTCCATGCCCAAATTGCAAGGCGTTAATGGTGAGCTAAAGTTTGCCAACAATAAACTTTTAGGATCGCTTGACATGAGAGAGTTGTATGCTGTTCGTTCGCTTGAAGTCAGTGTGCATCCTGCGCTGAACGAGCTCAAGTTTCCCAAAGGCTTGACTGAGGCAGAAAAGATCACGATCACGGATACGACTGTGACCAGAGTGGATGGATTGAAAATGAACTCGGCCCATGATATTTACATTTCTAACAATATTTACTTGAAGACATTTGCTTTATCCAACGTGACCACTTTGAATAACGTACTTATCAGTGCCAACTCGCCTGCATTACAAGTAGATGTAAGTCTTTATACATGTTTTTATATATCCTTTTTTTTCATTGACAAGTTTTTTTTTTTTTGGGGGGAATAGCTTTCTAAAATACAAGGAATGCGTGAAGCTACTTTCCGTAATGTAGCCGGTTTGAATCTTGATGGTTTAGTTAAGGTTGCAGGCGATATGTCATTCATTTCCAACTCGTTTGAAACACTCGACTTGCCATCTGTCACCGAGATTTTAGGAACACTCACGCTCCAAGATAACATGCAGCTGAATAATCTTTCCATGGCCAAATTATCCCACTTGGGAGGTGCTCTCTCTGTAAGCGGAAACACCAAGCTGGCCTCTATTCAGGCCTTTGCTAACCTGCAACAAGTGGATGGTACACTGGATATCATTGGTGGATTTGACGAAATGCAATTACCTGCTATTAGTGATGTAGGTCCAACGTGAAAGTGTATAGATATGTGCTGATTAATATGAGTGTAGATACGTGGTGGATTGAACGTTCAGACATCCAGCAGTACCTTCTCCTGTGACGCGATGAACAAGCTAAAGAATGGGGTTATCAAAGGCAATACGTTTACTTGTAAAGCAGCTGTAGCTCATCCAAAGTCGGGTATTCGAGGTGGAAAGAATGGTAAAGGAGGATCGAGTGATAGTGATAACTTTGAAGGTGCTGCCTCAGTAATTAGTGTTGGCTACTACTTGGCAGTCGGAGCTGTGTTGACTACCTTGTTCGTGGTTTAAGCCAATAGAAATAGATCGGAGCCAAGCAATTCTCTCTCTACTTTTCACAACTTTACAATAAACATCTTTTTCTCTTCTTTTGCTTTTTTTTGTACATTTGTATATAAAGTAAGTTTATAAAAAAAAAAAAAAAAAAGATAGAAAAAGGGAGGAGGGTAATGATTAAATATACTCAGTTGGATTGCGATTAAAAAGCACATTTGACATGCTAACCGCTTTGATATATCAAGGAAAGTAACCTCCTTGACATATTATTTCTGTGTTGGCAAGTTCAATAGCGTCTATGAGCACAACTTACACTTGATATGAATCCTTCTCATCGCCTTGTTTATTTTTAATGGTTTTGCTTACTTTTAAGTTTAGGAATAAAGAAAGAGTTTTATTATCTTGCATTAATTGTGTATTTTTGTTTTTAAAAAAAAATAAACTTTACTTTTCGTGACTTTTCCATCCTTTTCTTTTTTTTCTTACTTGTAAACACAATGGACACCTTGATGGATAGACATCATGTCGTGACAACCATTAGTCCTTCTACTGCTGTCACCTGTGCAGCAAAAGGTCCGTTCATTCAACCAGGAGAAGACAACTTGATCGTTTGGTAGCAACGTGTATCTTTATAATGACATTGTATACTAAGTCTTTCCTTTCTTTTTTTATTGAGGCAGTAAGGGCTCCACCATTGAAGTATACACTGTCATGTTGGATGGAATCAAGTCATTTATGGAATTCAACATTTACGGCACTATTCGTAACATGCAAGTGATTCAATTATCTGTAACCTACAACACGCTCAATAACGTCGACAGTAGAACTCATTTGCTTTTGTAGGATAAGACAACATGTTCACTCTTTATCTTGACAGTCCATCAATGCTACACTATACTCACTTACAGCAGCAAGACACAATCGATCGTGACAGAATTCAGTGGTATGTTGGACATCACAAGCGCAAGAGAAACCGATCAGCCTATTGTTGTAACTGTCGATACCTCTAGCGAAACACTCTTTGTGAGCGCCTTTACGGGATACCTGATTGCAATACCGTATGGCAAACCAGATAGCTCAATCAAGATGACGACCAAGAATCGGGATAGCAAAGCATTGAGATTTATGCCGATACCAATAAGGTAAAATCAGTCAGTGTGCTCAACGATCCAGAAGGCGCTAAATCGTTCTGTGCAGAACCAACGAGTTTGATTTTTTGTCTGTTGTCACACTCCAACAAGCTTCTTCTGTATCAGTGCTCGTAGGCGAGCTTGAGGATCTCAAGACTATCAAAACCTTCAAATATTGTGAGGGGCCAAAAGAGTTGGTGGAGAAGAAGAATACGACAATGAAGGTTGAAACAACTACTCATGCTCTCGTAACTGTTCCAGCACCCCTGGGTGGTATGCTGGCTATTGGCGAATACGTTATCACGTACTATGATCCTTTCAGTAATACAGTGCGAGAGCTTAGCATTGAACCTGTTCTTGTTACAGCGTAAGTAGGATGTGTAGATAAAAGAAAAAGAAGCTTAGGGTATTTGATTAGATGGGAATATCTCAGTGATGGATCAAATCGTTTCCTCCTGGGAGACTCGGAAGGTTATCTGTACATGTTCATCTTGGAGACAGGTCACAATAAAGTGGTCAATTTATCAAGTACTCTTATTGGACAGGTAAGACAGCCTAGTGTAGAAAACGGGAGGTGTAGAGGCTAAATCCAAAAAAGGTAGCTCGACCCAATTGTATCATCGACCTTGGCAATTACATGTTTTATATTGGATCAACTCATGGAGATTCATGCTTAATTCAGTTGGTCGACGCGGCAACACCGTCAAAGTACAGTATTCGTGTCCTCGCAAGTTATTCCTGTCTGGGGCCCATTGTAGATTTCTGCTTATTTGATTATAATGAACAAGGAAAGGTAAGCTACATCTTTCGATTTGTAAACATATAATTCATATCGATATAGCAAACTATGGCTTGTTGCTCTGGAGTGGATAACGATGCAAGTATAAGGATAGTGGAGAATGGCATAGGATTCATTAAGCAAGCTGTGCTCGATTTTCCACTAGTGTATAACATGTGGCCATTGAAGTTAGAAGAGTAAGAAGATATACTATATGTACGATTACTCGCCATAACTCATTTGGATTATTATGTTAGGCAATCAGATTCACTCTTGATCACTACTGCGCTTGAGACCATCTTGTTAAAGCCACTGAGGGATGCAGACAATCAATTTATGGAATACGCCTCATATTCTGCCCTTTGTACAAACGAAACAACACTGGCTTCTGGGCTGTGGAATGACCATATCGTGCAAATTACGCCTTCATCGGCTCGTTTGATGACCAAGGATGAACACGGAACACTACTTGCTGAATGGAAACCACCAGGAAATAAGAGTATTTCAATGGCCAAGCTTAAAGAATCTCATTGCCTTGTTTGTTACGAGGATGACGTTATTGTTTACTTGGAAATTGTATTTAACACTTTTATGGAAAGGAGGTACTTGCATATATGCAATAGACAACCTATTATTACTTACAGCTGTTCTCTACTCTAGTACAACGCAAGTGAGAGATACTTCATGTATGAGCATCAGCACATGTAAAGAAAATGGAACAGACAACAACTATGTCGTGATTGGCACTTTCGGATCTGGATCCAACGTACGCCTACTACAATTACCCGAATTACAGACGATCTATGAATATGTAAATGCACCTATTACTGCAAGTCCAAAAGATGTTTTGATTGTCTTTATGGAAGGCTTATTGTATCTGATGGTGATGCTAGGTACGTTCTTTGTGACGCATTTGATGAGACACATGTGGTAGATAATATATCAACAGGCGACGGACAAATACTGAGCTACTGTATAAAGCACTTGGGATCCGAACGCATCATGGTATATGACGAGCGACAGATGATGGTAAGTACATACTGTACAGGGATGTACCCTTATCAGCATCAAGGAGAGCAAAAAATATTTGTTGCTGGACAGAAACCTTCCGTGATTTCAAGCTTCAATCAGACCTTGTTTGTTTATTCAGTTAATTTAACGGTAAAAAAAAAAAAAAAAACAAAGCAGCAAGGCAATGTTTTACTCACGCTTCACACGTTTCAGAATATTTATACTCTGACAGCATTCAATGATATACTTGCATTAATGACAGACCATCAATTACTGTTTGGAAAAACAGATGTCGTTTCAAGGCTTCAACATACAAAATACGATATTCCTGGAGAGATGCCTCTTCGTGTTGAGTATTTGTCAAGAACAAAGGCATTGGCAGTAGGTAGTTCAACCTATGTACGTGACACCAACAAAAATGTTATGGACAGAGCGGGGAAAGTTAGAATACTGGACGCACAGACCTTCCAAGGTAAGGTTCATTTTTTTTCTGTAATCAAGGTCTACTTACAGTCTTCATTAGTGCTTGACACATATGAATTGGCAAATAATGAAATAGTCGAGTCCATGTGTGTAGCACGGTTTAAAGAATATCCGGACAAAGAGTATTTATTTGTTGGTACCTTGATTGAGAACCAGTTGGATCCAAACAACAACAGTGGACGCATATTAGCATTTACAATAGATGTCTTTAAATGTGAACTGCTTGATACAATTGATATGCCTGGCGTTATCTATCGTATGGAGGCAGTAGAAAATACGGTGATTGCTGCTGTGGATGGAAAGGTAAGGAACATAAACGCATCACAGATGCATTAACTTTTTTTAATAGCTATATGGACTTTGTAAATTACAACCTGATTTATTAAAAGGAGAAAGGATAGAATTTAAATTTTTACTGCATCATAACGTGGTCGCATTGGACATGGACAGCCAAAAGGATCTCTTGCTAGTAGGTGATCTGATGGAATCCATGTCAGTGCTCAAGGTCAACAACAACCCAGATGCACTTGGACTCGATTTATTAGCGACAGATAATAAGCAAGTATGGATAACTGCTGTTAAATTTATAAATGAAGATGTGATGATCGGCGCAGATGATAGACAAAACTTATTTACGATGGTCAAACCAAGCCCACAAAATGGTAGGGGCTTGGCCAAACTGGAATTAGAAGGTGGATATCACCTAGGAACACTGGTCAATCGATTTAGAAAAGGTAAACAAAAGCCTGTGTTGAAGATGTGTTATTTATAAATAATAGACATATTACGAGATATTACCTCTGTTCAAGACAATATTCCTGTTGTTGCACGCTATGGTTCAGAATTTACATTTGTTACAGTAAATGGATCTATTGGTACAGTTAAGAGTATATCCAAAGAAAGCTTTGAATTTTTCAAGAGTATACAGGATGGTATATTAAAGATCTTGCCCAACGTTGGAAATTTGGACCATAGTCTGTGGCGAACATATAAACCAAAGCATAAAATAACGCGTACCAATGATAATTATCTGGATGGTGATATACTTAAGCTGTATACACAGATGAATTTAATAGAAAAGCAAAAACTGCTAGAACAATATCAGAATGTGTCTATAAAAGACCTTGGAGAATGGATTCATCATTTAATCTCTTAATATTATTGTTATTATTATGATACCCTGCATGTGTTTATAGCGTTTCAAAAATAGGAGGGGGGAAGGAGTGTATCACAAAAAATGGGACTTTTTTATGACAATAAATTAAATATGATATAACTCTTTCTTTTCTTCTTTTTTTTTCTTTTGTAAATACAACACAATGGATATTCTTTATTCACATTTGTCTACTTTATTTCATCTTTGGCGATCATTAGAAGTGGATCCATGTACAATAAACACAAAACTTTATGTAAAGCTAAATCTTTTAAAGGGTTGATTTGATGTGTGTAATACTTTTGTTGTAGAATGTTATTCAGGAACTCGAATGCTTGATTAAATTAGAAAAAAAACAAAAATTATACCTTGTGGCCGATATTGAAGATCTAGCAGTAAATTGAAAAGAATTTATTAATGTAATGTATTTATCACTTTATTCATAGTCAAGTATCGAAGATGCATCCATTCAATTGGGTGTCTCGGCCGAAGACACGTTACAGGTGGATGTTACCATACCAACAGTACCAAAACATAGATTACTACTAGAATTGAACAATAAATTAAACAATGTATACAAATATAAATAAGCTATATCATAAGAAGTATCTCATTGGAATGTTGTTTATTTACACAATATAGGAAATCATCACTAGACAATACCATTTAAAAAAATGGTTACCAGAGATAGAACAATTATCAAAGGAACTTGATCTACATTTAAAAGTAGGGAGAACTAACAGATCATGCTTGTTGTCATAGTAATCTCTTTTATTTTTTTATATTTTTTTAGGAGTATGATGATAGCGATCTTTCATGGGCTAACGTGCAAATGGTAAAAAAAAAAAAAAAAGCAATTAATGTTTTTTTATTGTTATCTAGTCAGTTTAGATTTTAACCTTTTTGTTTATATACATTAGATAAGCTGTGATTTGCGTGACTTGCGTGAATTGAAGGTATGAAGAAACAAAAGAAACAATAGAAACAAAGACACCCATCATTACAACATAGGCTCAACGTAGCAAAGAGTTTGAATTATTAGTCAGGGCTATTCAGTATTATTGGAATATTTTAGATCATACTGTCAATACCAATGATGCCTTGGAGGTGTCCTTGGATGCATTGTTTCAGCACTTTCCTCTTCCTCCTGATACCATAGCGACAGTTGCGCCAATGACGATGATAATACAAGATACAGAATATTTTCACAAGTCATTAATGAAATTATCTCAAAACAACTTGAATCAATTACGCACAATGAAGCAAAACTTGGAAACTATTTTTAAATCAAGATTGATCATCTACACCAAGTCGATTACTAAAATAAAGGCAGTCTGGGAGGAACTACAGGTACCGATCTTGGAGAGGCCGATCTTACCGACAAAGCTTGGTACCAGTGATATGGTCAAGGTAAATGTTTGGAAATATATATATATAAAGTACATTATGCTTATCTTGTGTACTAGTTGAAGGATATCGTCAACAATTTGGATCCATTTATCAAGAGAGCATTCGAAAGATACATTTTACAGTTCAAGGATCAACTGGAGTCTCTATGGGATTCTTGCTTGGTTTCGAGATTAGAAAGAGACGAATTCATTGCGTCTCTTTATAAGAAAAGTAATATATAAGGTGTATTGAGGAGGCGCTTACTCACTTTGACAATAGATACCAAACAAGAAATAAAATTCACTGTAGACAAACATATCAGATACCTTCGATCCATGGTTCCCAAAGGACAGGCCTTACTTGTGCTTATGAAGGAAAGAAAAGATTTGATTCAAAAGATGATTGACTTTGAAAAGAAAGCAAGTGATCCAAAGCGCCTATTTCAAGCTTCATTTCAGTTATTAGAAGAAGAGAAATGGAGAAACACGTGTTTGCCTCGTCTGTTACAGCTGGATCGTTCTCTTATAAAGGCTATTCAAGAGTTTGAAAAACTGGCTGGTAAACCTGTCATGTTTGGTGGAAAGAGATATCTTGACACTTTAGTAAGTTAATCATCCTATAGATCCACACGTCATATCTCACTATTCTTTTCGCATGTATCGACAGTTGGAAGAAATTGCTGACAGAGAAGCAAACCAAACCTTCTTTGGTTTCTTAAACACGGAACCCTCTACGTCTACTACTACGATCACCACCAACATAAAGCGTATAAAGAATGCAAGGCCTGCTTCCGTAGGCAGTTTAGGCTCCATGGTAAAGAAGCAACAACAACAACAACAACAGCCTCAAAAGCCACGCGTCATGTGTCCAACTTCATCTCAGTCTATGCCCTTAGATAAGCAGCCCAAAAGACAACAGGTCTCAAAGGACTCCAAGCCATCATCTTCTATTCATTCAGCATCTTATATCCCCTCATCTCCAAAAGCATACAAAAAGAACAATGGACGTACGAACTCCATGATACCAATCCCTCACAGGAACCCTTTAACGGCCACAAAATCTATTTAAGTCTTATGCGTCACATGCCCTTATTTCTTTTTTCCTATTTGTATAAATAAATAAAAGAATGGATGTCATCAAGGCAATACAGCATTATGCTAATAAAATGATTGAAGATGTACCTGGAATGAAGGCACTCTTACTTGATACTGAGACAGTAAGTTTAAAATAGAATAAGGGGGTGACAGCATATTAACTTAAATGAACAGACACCCATCATTTCACTTGTAACAACCCAATCAGCTCTATTGACAAAGGAATGCTACTTGATTGATAGAATTGATAATAGAAATAGAGACAGACTCAAACATTTGAAATGTATCTGTTTTCTAAGACCAACCAGAGAAGCGTTACATTACCTCGTTGCCGAACTACGAGAACCCGCCTATGGTGATTACTATTTATGTAAGTTTCATTATTAGTAAGAACACACTAGTGTCTTATTCCTTAAAGACTTTAGCAATACGATACGAAAAGCAGATATTGAACAACTTGCCGAAGTGGACGAACATGAAGTGATTAGAGAGGTACAAGAGTATTTTGGTGACTACCTTGCCATCAATCCGGATCTATTTTCGCTCGGACAAGATCCTCATCAGCTATTTGGTAATAGTGTCACCAGTTGGCAACCAGACGTACTCAATCAGACCGTTGCTCAGCTTTCTGCTGTTCTTCTCAGTTTGAAAAAGAGACCTCTGATACGATATCAGGGAGCAAGTGAAATGGCCAAGACGTTGGCAGAGGAATTACAACGTACGATACAACAAGAGGGTCAACTGTTTGATTTCAGAAGACCTGATACACCGCCTATCATGCTCATTTTGGACAGAAGAAATGATCCTGTCACGCCATTATTGACCCAGTGGACATACCAAGCCATGGTACATGAATTGATTGGTATCCATCATGGTAGAGTAGACATGTCGAATGTGCCTGAAGTAAAGAATGAGTTGAAGGTAAGAAAGAGGGTCGCATCTTTGTTGTGGTGATGAATTAAAAACAAACCAGAGTCATCCCCTTCTTGTTTTAGGAAATTGTATTATCCCCAGATCAGGATCCATTTTTCAAAAAGTCAATGTATTTCAACTTGGGTGATTTAGGTGCTACGATCAAGCAGTATGTTGACGAATATCAAACCAAGACAAAATCCAATATGAATATTGAGACGATTGCGGATATGAAGCGTTTTGTTGAAGAATATCCAGAATTTAGAAAGCTTTCGAGTAACGTGTCGAAACATGTCGCCTTGGTCAGTGAATTGAGCAGACGAGTCTCTCAAGATCATTTACTGGAAGTGAGTGAGACAGAACAAAGCATTGCATGTAATGGAAACCATGGAAGTGATTTGGATAGTGTACAAAAGTTATTGTCAGATCCTCGTGTACCCGAGGAAGCCAAAGTACGTCTGGCTCTGTTGTATGTCTTGAGATATGAGACGACGGGTGCTAATAGGATTACGGCCATGGCCGATCTATTGGACAGTGTCGGTGTGAGTGATAGAAAAAGCGCTGTAAGTTTTATTGTTGTACATAAAACTCTAGTGTACTTATTTGCTTAGCTCATTCCTGCCTTACTACACTATGCCGGAGAAAAACGAAGGCAGGGTGATTTGTTTAGTAATCAATCCTTGTTATCAAGGGGTAAAAGTGCCTTAAAGGGATTAAAAGGGGTTGAAAACGTGTATACACAACATACACCTTTCTTGGCAGACATATTGGATTTACTGATCAAGGCACGACTTAAAGAGAATGAATATCCGTTCATTCAAGGCAACCTACAAGTGGCTCGTGAAAGGTAACCTCAAATTAAAAATTAATGCCCAGAAAAACTCTAATATTATCTGTAGACCTCAGGACATAATTGTGTTTATATGTGGAGGCGCAACCTATGAGGAAGCACGATATATAGCTCAATTAAATGATTCAGCGCCTGGTGTCAGAATTGTATTAGGAGGCAACTATATACATAACTCAAGAAGCTTTTTAGAACAAGTGGAACAGGCAAATCGATTCATTTATTAAATAAAAACTTGTTTAAGGTGAACAAAAGGGGGACGAGCTGAATTTTTTTTTCCTTTTCTTTTTTTTTTCAATAATGAGTCAAGCGATGTCTATTACACAGTTGTGTAATAATGATGAAAACAATAAAAATCAAACAGAGAAAAAGAGTAAAAGAAACAATGAGTAATAAAATTTTTTTTATAAATTCACTTCATCATGTCAATACCAAACTCTCCTTCTTCAAGGCAACTGAAACACTCACCAACATCACCTTCTTATTCAGAATTTCAATATAAGCGAAATCTACTTGATGAAGTCAAAACTTGGCCTGAAAATAAAGTATCAGACTGGTTACAGAGTCAATCCCTGGGTCGATATGGTCCAATATTTATTGGTAAAAAAAAAAAGAATGGAATAAAGCAAAACATGTCTTATATAAAAGAGCTGTATAGAACACAACATTACGGGTTCAGTCTTACTCGATTTGGATTATGAGGCATTAAAAGCAATGGACATAAAGACAGTTGGAGAAAGAGTTCGACTCACAACAGCCATCAAAGCACTAAGACAAGACTGCTATCTTGCTGCTTCATTAGCAGCAAGGTCAACTACAAGGGTAAACAAAGAAAAAAAAAAAAAGAAAGAATTGCAAACGAAAAAAAGGGGAGAAAACTTATATATGTGTAGCCAGTGGTATCAACACCGCCTCCGGATGGTAAACATGAAGACATGTTTGCAACAACAAAATCATCAAAGTCAGCTGAAACAAGTAGTGGCTCAAAGAGTCTATTGAACAGGTCCAACTCATTTTCTCGGTTCTTGGGGAGATCTGATTCAAAGAAATCGCAAAAAAGCACAACGTCAAATACTTCAGCAAACAGTAACGTACAGACTCCACCTCCTCCTCCACCAACAGACCCTTCGAGTCCCAAGACAATTCAAAAAGTAGGACATATATAATAAACAAAAAGCAAAGACTAAACTATATAATAGCGAAACTCTCTAGAAGGAGGTATCATGTCGATGGAAAAGGTGAAGCAGACCTGTGTTAAAGTGTTTGGAGAGGATGGTCAAACACGTATAGTAAATGTGCTTAATGCATATGATTCCAAGGTGATTATGGCCAAGGTATTGCATAAATTTGGCATCGATGAATCAAATGCGGATAACTTTTGTATATTTGTTGGTTCAAGTACAAATGGAGAAGGTAAATATATATAAAGAGAGAGAGAAAGCTTGATCGCTTACTGTTAGCATTAGCTCGAGCACTGTCAGATCAGGAGTTAGTCGATATCTGTAAATCAACAGATCGCCCTGAAAAGGAAAGACTGATTTTACGAAAAAGACACATGTATCCTACACATGAAGAGTTTAAAAGAAAAGGAACGATCAACCGAAGACAGTTTCAGCCGAGTAGTGATAGCTTGCTCCACTCATGGTCAAATCAGAGCAGTGCAAGCATCGTCACACACCGCTCACAACTAAATAATCACAGCAGCACTAGCTCAAATAACACAACTAAACCTCGTCGTCAATTCTTTGGCGAACGACCACCTTCTGAAGTGATCTCCTCCAACCTTCCTTCCTTTTTTCCCAATCACAATCGAGAGGTATTAGAGACAGCAGGTATCAAGGCGCAACGTTTATCCATGATTCGGCGCAACTCTTCACTTTGCCGTACTGAGCCTCGAGGTTACCGAAACAGCGTACTGCCTGAACTAGTTTCAGTTCTGGGCGTCGATTTGGACAAGTTTTTAGAAGAAAATGATGATGATGATGACAATGACGATGTAGTAACTATAGATGATGAAAGTACCATGGATACAAACAGCCTGAATATACCCGACTTTCATTCTATTGTTGACAATCAAAAACGATCGCCCGTAGTTCCGACAAAGCTTAAGGCGGATGAAAAGCCCGAAGATGTCGCCCCTGTCCTGACAGTGAAGGAATCCCAGCCTAAGCCAGCCAAAGTTTTGCCAGATACATGGATGAAAGGTTCACTCATCGGTCGCGGCACCTTTGGCGATGTCTATTTGGGCCTTAATCCTCTCAGCGGTGAGCTCATGGCAGTCAAACAAGTCGAGCTGCCTGTCGAAAATTCAGCTACAGAGGAACGTAAACGCTCAATGGTCGAGGCATTACAAAGAGAGATTGAGCTGCTGAAAGAACTGGAGCACGAGAACATTGTCCAATATTTAGGCTCACGGATAGATAATTCTTACTTTAGTATCTTTTTAGAGTATGTCCCTGGAGGTTCAGTCGCCGGATTGCTGGCTAGTTATGGCGCATTTCAAGAGCCGTTGGTGAAGAGCTTTGTCAGGCAAATATTGAAAGGGTTGAATTATTTACATAATAAAGATATTGTTCATCGTGACATTAAAGGTGCCAATGTCTTAGGTAAAACCAAAAACTCGAACAAAGCGACTTTGAATAACTTTTTATGTAGTGGATAACAAGGGCGGTGTAAAGATCACTGATTTTGGAATATCGAAAAAGGTAGAGGAAAATATCATTTTGCAGGGACAGCCTCCATCTGCTGCACACAGACCTAGTTTGCAAGGATCAATTTATTGGATGGCACCGGAGGTCGTCAAACAAACGCACTATACACGTAAAGCAGATATCTGGTCATTAGGCTGTATGGTCGTGGAAATGTTTACAGGTGATCATCCCTTTCCCGAATATTCACAAATGCAAGCCATATTTCAGGTATACATGCCCTTCTTTTTTCTTTGCTTTAATACTAATGCATACCTTGTTATATAGATTGGTAGCTACATGGCACCGAATATACCTCCAAACCTGAGTGAAGATGCACAGGACTTTTTAAGATGCACCTTTCAACTGTAAGTTTACTTCTTTATTGTAAAATAGAAGCTAATCTTCTCCCCTGTCTCTTAGAAACCACGAAGAGCGACCTCCAGCTGATGAGCTTTTGAGACATCCGTTTATAAAAGAAGTATCAACTGATGATGAACTAGGGTCCTTATAACTTTGTATTATAATAATAATAGCAGTAATAGTAATAAATATTTTATCCATCAATTGCTTTCTTTTGTAGATCATTTGGTGTATGATATCATCCATAGTTCCGTCTACTTTAAACTTCAGCATAAAATGACGTTGATGGAGCCTTTGAGAGGGATCGTCCGATGTCTACACCCTTGTCTTAATTCTTTACATGTATCCCTTTTGACTCGTGTACTACTTTAGTTGGCCTCAACTATTATGTTGTTGCACAGCTGAATGTATTTACGCATAAAAAGCCCACAACATTCAATGCATTGAATTTATACACAGGTTTTATTCACACATAAGAATACATAATTTACAAACTTTCTTTATCAGTACGGTTCTTTGCATGATGGTCCACAGTCTTATTCTGCAATTCTTGGATAGGAATATCTTGCTCTTTATCAGCCTTGACCTAAATGATGATGTTAAGTTGGACTCCTTTTAACTAGATCATTGCACTTACATTGGCTTCACTTGTAGAAGCTAATTTTTCATTCCATTCCTTTTCCTTTTTGCTAAGATGCTTTTGCTTTTCTCGTTCGAGTGTTTCAGGATCGTTATCTGACATATGAGAGAATGCAGACATACATCTCTGATTTATAATATTTTTTGAGCATACGACGGGGGAACGATAGATCTTGGTAGCTAATTGTTTGGTACGGTTCATTCTATATACTGTAAGAGTGAATTCAATAAATTTAATGTAAGAAGGAAAAAAAAAAAGTGCTCCTTTATATGTACAGTATTCATTCATGCGTTTCTGAATGACATCAATACGTCATAATTATCAAAGTCCTAGCATGTGTTCAATCCTAAGAAGAAAACTTTATGTATGATGTAACCCTATCAAATAATGTGTTGCGTATAAACCACACGCTTTAATTTTGTGTATGTTTATGCGGTAAATCTTTTTATTCTAGCTTATTGTGAATGCATACAGACTTTTTATTGGTTAAAGTAAACAATGCCCACTTACATTAAATGATTGTTTATTTACTAAAGTAAAAAGTAAATAAACTTCTTCATACATGAAATCAAATCGTTTGACACAGTAAATTCTTGAATTCAAGTCATTGACGCGTCGTTTTTGTTGTTAAATGTCATGTTCAAAATTTGAAATAATCAAGTGAACTATGACCTCTCTTTACAATAATCTCGAAAATTACAAAGGGAGGATTTGCTTATAAATTTGGATAACCAAAGAAATATGATTGATGTCATACTATTTCACTTATTCCATCTTGATTAAAGCTAAAGTCCAAGCAAATGACATTGAGGCTTCGTGTGACTCGACTTCGTTTGAGACCCTGGCCACTACTTTCTTTGGAATAAAAAAAAAAAATAGTAATACTCACTTTTCTCTTATAGAAATGAAGAATTCGACTATTGCTATAGCTACTGTCACCGGTATCCTTACTGTTGGTATTGGATACATGTTCTATTTTGATTACAAGAGACGCAATGACCCTCAATTTAGAAAACAATTAAGTAAGATATATATATATATATATACATATGACATATAGCGCTGTTGCTAAGACAATACTTTCTAGAGCGTGAACGTAAGCAAGCAGCTAAAGCAGCCAAGGAAGCAGAGAATGAGTCAAAGGAATCTAAACTGAAGTTATTTGAAAGAGTCATTGTCGAATCTGCTCGAGAAAGTTATCCAACAACACCTGAAGCTAAAGAAAAGTACTTTATGGAACAAGTAACAGTTGGAGAGACATTGTGTGGACAAGGTTATATATAAAATAATAGCAAAGGATAATGAAAGGCTGACGATTAGTTGTATAGGCCCTACCTATTATGATGAAGCAGTTTTGCCCTTTTACAAGGCACTCAAGGTATACCCTGCTCCTGGAGAGCTGCTTACTATCTATCAAAAGACTATCCCTGAACCTGTATTCCAAACTATTACTACTATATTGGCTATTGAGGTATATGAAAATGGATAATGTATACATATATATACTTATACGTGATGTGTAGCAAAAGGCAATGTCATCCCAACATACTGAAACTCCCGAAGAAGCTGCTGCTTCAGCCACTGGTATCGATGTGGAATAAATAACATAGAGAAGCTCTTGAAAAGTTGTAAATAAATCTTAAAGCGCGCAAAAACACAACCACAAACATATAAACATAAATATTACTGCTACACGTGAAAGCATACCTCTTTCTTTTTTTTTTTTTTTTTTCTTTTGCATAAAAAAAATGAACCATTTTAATACAGCAGAATCTATTGCGACAAACACACTATTAATACCCAATATACCCGACTGTTTCTTTGGTTGTGATGAAGCCATGCTTACTGTTCACGATGCATGTGCTTACTACGGACCATTGTATACGTTTGTACCAATGAAGACATTTCGACGCATCATGGTCATTTACCAAGAAACTGAACATGCAATGAAAGCAAAGGCTGAATTAGACAAAAGTACTGTTGTCTGGAAGAATGGACCCAAAGATATAACTATTAAAAAAGGCGACACTTCAGAGACCAACTCACGTATACTAAGGTTTTACTATGGACAGCACTTTTCTATGCATACAACTCAATCGACACTAGATGTACCACAGTTTCGGCGTAATATGTTGATATCACCACCAGGTTCTCCCTGTGAAGGCTGGGAACAGATAGAAGAAGACTCACCTAATAGACGTACACTGGCATCTGACCTGATTCAAGCCGTAGCTGACGTTTCAGATTATGAACTAGATGAAGACGAACTCGACTTGGACTCGTCCACTCCTTCTTCAACAACACCGATATCCAAGAAGCTCAATATTGTGCTTGCAAAGGACAGGGATACACCTGAACATCTACCGGAGATCACAGTAGAGGATTATGGTGATAACACAGATACTAAAATACACATACGCCCTGTGCCAGCATCCATGCCGCCAATGCGTCATTAATAGACTTCTTTTAAATAGCTCTTTTTTTTTTTTATTTACTAAAACATCATCACTACACCATCGCTACTAGTACTACTACTATTACTACTACAACAAACATACAATAAAAAAAAGTCTTATGGTTGATAGGTGTTTGCTAAACGCTTTCCTACTTTTTTCATCAAGGTGCCTTCTGCTTCCAATTCCTTTTTCAGTAACTCTTCACCTAGCTGTCTTCGTCTTTCTTCCTCCTTGTCTTGCTCTTCTTCTGAAACAGATTGTCTTTGCAGCTGCAGCTGCTGCCATTCAGGGCACCGCATCCTTTGTCTAAATGTATCTGCAATCATTAAAGCGTCTGTAGAAGACAGGAGAGGTTCTTTTGAATAGAGCGACACACTCGAATGTGGTCTCATTTCATAAAGGGGTGAAGAAGGCTCGCATTTGGCTGTCTCGTGAAGCTTAGTTGGCTGGCTTTGACTGATGACAGAGGCGATCGTCGGATTGACCATGGTCATGCTGGATGCGTTATTATTAAAGAAGCTTTCTTTGCCTTCTGATGGCTTGCTATTACTTGATTCTGGAAATATATGGTCAGTTCCCCTTATCAACCACGTCTATTTCTCTTTTTACCCAGCTGATCTTTTTCACCGTGTACGAGTAGTTTCTTACGTACATGTCTCATTGCCCAACATAGAATAACACATGCACCGATAGCAGCCAAGATGGCTAAAGAGGCGGCAGAGATGACCCAAGGTTGTAAAGCGTGCTGATCTTTGTTGAGTACAGCTGATGGTGTCACAGATGCTTGAATGGTAGGGGTAACTACAGCAGCCGATCTACTCGCTGCAGTGCCAAGTTGGGTAGCCGATAGTGATACAGAAGATGAAGCCAGAGCGACCTCTACATAAAATAAATCAGTAGGTTGATTCGAACGTTATTTCCCTAAATACACATTACGCGCTAAGTTGATGTGGATGGGAGAAGGGTAGTCTGAGAATACGTTGTTCATTTCTTTTAATGGCTTGACATGACTCGGTATAATGTAGACCAGACAATCGTATGTTTGATTACCGGAATCTAGTCTCCAACTGTTATCGACAAGGACTGGGAAGGTTCCAACTGAGGGATCGATATCTGACCAATGCTTCACTTGGATCTTTTGGTAGTTTTGTATAAAGTACACATATATATCCAATGTCTCCTATAAAAACGAAAAGAGAAGGGTCTATATAAATAAGCATAGTTCCTTTTTATCTTTATGATCAGGAAACTAACCGCTGACACATAGGATGGATACCTATAAAGTACGTTAGCCTTTTGTTTGTATACGAAGATAATACTTACATCGAATTCCAAGTGATCGGATACCATGTTCCGTTTTTCCAAGTATCGTTTGGCTTTGGTGAACATATCGTATCCGTATTTCCATTTGATCCACACATGACTAATAAATAAGAATCATCTACATAATTATTCATAGTGTAATCGTTACCCGTCGACTTTGCAGAAACGCTTGATGAAGTTGGTGTTGCTGTCTTTGTCTGAGCATAAATAGACGGGGCTAGGATGATAGCAAGTGTTACAGGTAGAAGCATATTGTTTTTCTATTAATGAATGAGTGTATAAATGCTTCAAACAGATATATGGAGTATAAAAAAGAGAGAGAGAGAAAGATAAACAGTATCTCACAAAGATATTATAATCGTGTTAGGGGATGGTTTATAGGAGGCACAAAAAGACAAGAGGCATTATTTGTTACAGGAGCAAGACGATTAATTTGGTACATTTAGGCATTCAGGGGGAGAGGCAAATGATGGAAGGCTTTAACTAATACAAAATAAGCAGTCTATCTGCATAGACAGACAAATACATCTTTTAGGGCCTCCTTCAATGGTTTATAAGCGACCTGATCTTTTTACTATTTCATTTCTTTCGTTTTAATAACTGCAATTCTTTATAAGGTTAAAGTTAACCTAGGAGGTAAAGAGGGAGTGTAAGAGTCAAATCAAATCAGAAGGGGAAGGAAACAAAAATAGACGTGATAGACAAATTAGTTAAACAAAAACATACCTCTCTGTCTTTTTTGTATATAATATAGGAAAAGGGGGGAAACATTGTCATGGATATAAATTGACAATATCGTGGATTGTGCTTTATATCCGTTCAAATGAGTAAATCTTTGGAGAGACATGTCTATGGGTATTATATAGCAGCCTATAAAGCTGTGACTATGATCCACAATCTTCCATATGAATAGGATGATTTCTTAAGTATTCTATGGTTTGATATCTCTATCATGGTTTGTAAACTTTGGCAAACATTTATTTTGGGATCTTCTGTTCTGATTGGCCGAATACAAGAAATAATTTTACCAATTTTGTCCACTTCATGATGGCTAGTTTTCGCCAACACTTTTTCTAACTGTTGTAATGAGTGAGATCCCATTAGGCACATTATATGTCGCTCATAGGAAGAATGGTCAAGCGTGAAATATAACACTGTATCTTTCCATAGACAAAGTAGCCTTTGCTTTGTTTGTTTTGTAGTAAAAGGATGAGGATGATCAGGTAGAAATCGATGTTAGCTCGAGCGACATCTCTTTTCATGGTTATTGATATCTTTCTTGGGTTGATAGCCACTTAAACCTGGGACAAAGAAATTTGGAGTATCTTGAATTTTCTCTATCTTTGGAAGGACATTTACTTGAATAATGCTTTATGAAATACTATATAAAAGATCCTTAAAATATCTCTTGGCGCGTGTCATATACACTCCCCCTGATCTACGCCTAGTACCTCTCCGATAAAACGCTGTACTGATATACCTCCAAAGATGAACACATTATACTAATGGCATTTTTAGCATTTTCTTGGTCCATATTCCACGTAGCGTTCTTTCCATCCTTTCTCATTCCTCTGTCTTTTGTCCTCACTTTCTTTGTTTTATTGTTTACGAGGATTTGCTTGAAATTGGGTCAAGTCACGTTGTTTTAAAACCTGCTTCAATCATTTGTGATATTTCTATTTTTTTTTTTTTTTTTTTTTTTTATTTTTCCTTGATTGTCATTATGGGAATTCTAGCAGGCAATGTCGGTATAACTGACCTAAGATGCAAAGACGATGGCATACCAACAGAGACA